CAGTAGAGACCAGCTGCTACCGAGGGAGGTGAGATAGGCGTCGCAGTCAGCAAGGCTTTGGCGGAACACGGGGTAGTGCAGAAGACCCATGGCCATGCGTGCGTATTGCGCACCTTGGCCCGTGAAAACGAAGCAGAGCTCGGGGGTGGATGAGGTGCTGCTGAAGATGCTGGGCGAGACGAGGCTTGTGAGATCATCTGAAAAAGAGGATATGACAGCGAAGGAGCGGAAGGAGAGTAGGGACCGATGGGAGGAGAGAGTATAGGATAGGTCTGGGAGAAAGCTTGCGTCGTCAGAGGCCTTGTGGGAGGACAGGAAGGTCTGAAGTGCTTCTGCTTGGCGTTTCGTGCCGTCACTGTCTGCAGCTGAGAAGGGGATGATGGCGTAGGGGGTTGTGCGTTGGAGAGCGCTGTTGCTTTCGCTATGGCCGTTGGTGTGTCCGTTTGTGTGACCGTTGGTGTGGTCGTTGCTATGTCCATTGCTATGTCCATTGCTGTGACCATTGCTGTGACCGTTGGTAAGTGTGGCTCCGCTTACGGATTGATGCAGGCCTTTCAAGCCATGGGTGCGTAGGTAGTTGTATGCGTCGTCCAGGATCACATGGGCATTACTACCTCCGTATCCAAAGGAGCTCACGGATGCCCTGCGAATATCTGCTGTCGCCGGCCATGGGACTGGGTTTTTAGGAAACTAGACCGAGTCAATGAGAAGAGTACTTTTCCAATTCCCACAACAGTCTCTTACCGTCAGATGCAGACCCTCTACGTCAATATCAGGGTTTACATTCTCCAACATAGCAATTGGCGGGATCACTGCNTTCTCCAGCGAGAGAACAGTCTTGATGACACCGGCCTGGAGTACCAAACTAGTCAGAAAAATATATCCACACATCAGCTCGAAAGTCATTCGTTACTCACCAAGCCCGACGCACCCTCCAGGTGACCAATGTTCGCTTTGACAGACCCTATATAAAGCGGCCTATCAGGCTTGCGACCGTCACGGAAAGCTTGCCCTATAGCAGCCGCTTCAATTGGGTCACCAACAGGTGTTGCAGTGCCATGAGCCTCGACATAGTCAGTATCAGCAACATTTAATCCGGCAACGCGATAGGTATCCCGCAACAGATCAAGCTGCGCCTGCTGGCTGGGCTGCGTGATACTCGGTGTCCTACCATCCTGATTCGCCCCCGTGGCCCGTATTACCGCCCTGATCACATCCCCATCCCTCAGCGCCGCATCTAACGGCTTAAGTAACACGAAACCAAAGCCCTCGCCCCTCGCATACCCGTTCGCCTTGGCATCAAAGCTATAACTCTTACCGTCTACGCTCAGAAACCCACCGTTGCTGAGCGCAAGCGCCTGGCTCTCGGGCGTGATGAATGTATTCGCGCCGCACACAAGCGACATTGCGCTTTCGCCTGCGAGAATGCTCTGCACACCAAGATGCAGCGCGTACAAGCCCGAAGAGCAGGCTGTGTCGACGGTTAGCGAGGGGCCTGCCAGGTCGAAGAAGTGACTGATGCGATTGCTGAGCATGGAGGAGCCGTTGGCCGTGGCGTGGTAGCGCGATTGAGCGGAAAAGTCGCGCCCGGTTATTGTTTCGCCGTCACGGGAGAAGGACGCGCAGTAGACGGAGGTGCGTGTCCGAGGGAGGGTTTCCATGGGGATTCCGGCGTTTTCAAAAGTGCGGTAGGCGCCTTCGAGAAGCCCGCGTTGTTGTGGATCGAGAACTGAGGCTTCTGCGTAGGACATGTTGAAGAATGGGGCGTCAAAACTGCGGGGGTCTTCTTCCATGAAATGTGCGCAGCGGATGCGTAACTAGTAGGATTAGTTGATTCTTGTTCCCCACTGGTAGAATTGTCGTTTAGAACTTACGCTGTCCAGGTGGTTTGGGTCCGGATGGTAGAAAGCTGTTGGTTCAAGTGAGCCCGTAATACATGTGCATTCTAGTAGAGAATGAGTACATACCATCTATGTTGAATCTGTCGGCGGGGATTTCTTTAGATACATTCCTTGCGCTCATGATGAGATCCCAGAATGATTGCGCAGACACTGCGTCACCTGGGAACTTCATGTTCATGCCAATGATGGCTATGGGCATTGTCTTGTCAACAGCCATACTGCTATTTACGTTATGTGAGTCCCAGCTCAAGGTGTATTGGCTTTTCGGCACTCTGAGACAGTCTTGGAAAGTTCAGATACTTCTGAGCCTCTAGAAAAGATTTGTAGGGAGTTTTTTTGAGATAGATGCAGGCACAGTGTAGCTTTGCGTACTCCGTATTCATAAGAGCATTGACAAGGCTTTATCATATACACTCGACGATGTGGCAAAGACTAAGGGTATGCTTCATCCCCTGGTTGCGTTCTTCTTCGTAATGCCGGCGGAATGCAGGGTATCTCTTCTACACAAATCAAACAGGGGGGTCGGATTCAAAGGGACACTAAAGGCTCTATTTGGGCAGAACTAAACAAAACTACACATCTCGTCGACTCCGTTGGGAACTGACCAATAGATTGCTAGTATTTAATACAGCGTTTCGTTTGAAAAAAAAATAGAGCCGAAACGGAATTCAGAAACCAAACAGGTTCTAAGCGGTATATTGCCGTCGCTTGGTGGGCCTATTATTTGCTTACTCTAGCATTACTGTGCACTGTCTGAGCTCTAGAGTGGAGCCTGAACTGTGGATCAGAGCTGCATGTATACGACTCGGAGATTACTGACACATGAAAGTGGGCACGGATGCATTCTGATATGCCGGCCATAATACGGAGTAAGTAATACCACAACTAATAGTCGATAGAACTGTAGCAAAAGCCGTTTATCTCTGCAGCCGACTCTTGCTGTAGGTGCTATATATTACGTCAAGAATAAAGATGTGCCTGATATATCCTGGCTTTGACGTTACATGACACGTAACTGCTTGTAAGATAGCTTTCTCCCCATTCCCATCAAATATCTGTAGCGCGTCGACATACGTATACCCTACCGGACCTTTCTCTCGAAACAGGCTGCATCCTTCCCCACATTCTCTACAGTCGCTATATCTACCCTTCAGGCGATGTACTTTGTTGAGGCCTTGCCGAACGGGGCATGGCCTTAGCGGAGGAGCTGTACGTAGCTCGGAGTTTGGGTGGCTGCACCGGAACAACCATCTTATAATTTAGCTGCCTGCTTTGAACATCACTCGTTTACTCGTTTTGAATTATGCATTCCGCCATAACATACCCCTGTCACGGTGGTATTACCTGAAGCTTGGAGACATCGCTTGCAGCCTAGAGGTACATACTTTCGGTCTTTCTTTCCTGGCCCAAAGGTATTCGTTCGGCATCAGCCGTTTAGGTTTACCAAGAAGAACAGATATGCTTATCTATCAAGGGTTATACGCTGTTCAGTTCCCTTGTTTCGAACTCTCATTTTGCTTATAATCGTGGCTTGATCAAGGTACTATTTCTGTTTTGGTAGTGCTAGATCTCATCTGATTAACTAACAAAAGTGGATTGGTACTTAATGCTTACTTTGACTATCACTCAAAGAGGTGTAGTTAATCAATATTGATTAAAGATGTAAAACCGGTTTGGAGCGTCAGAACTCTAATTGATTTCCTCAACGCTAGTTAAACATTGTACTGGGAAGACTGCGGTTTGTACCGGAATCGGAGTCTTAGAATCTAAATTAAGTAGTCAGGCCTGTCCCTGTGTGCCGAAAAACCCTACGTGCCGAAAACGACCAATCGGATC